GGCTCCAGCCCTCGGAGCATCTTTGTGGCCTCCTCTGGACTCACTCCAACCAGTCTATATCCTTCTGATGTGGAGGGCTCCACAGCTGGACGCAGCACTCCAGGTGGGGTCTCACCTCATCCTGGGGTTCCCCCTCAGGATCCCCCTCAGACACACAGACGTCCTTCCCCCCAGACCCAGCACAGACAGACCGACCTCACTCCCTTTCCCGGCCGCGCTGCCGCTGGGTAGAAAGAGCCCGCCCCTCCCCCACGTTCCCTCCCGCTCATTGGCGGACTCTGCCGCTCCAGCCTCCAATCACTAGCTCTGGCTAGCGAGGGGTCGCCATGGCGACCGCGGACGCCGTGCGGCCCAGGCGCCGGCCATGGCCGCCTACAGACGCGGGGTGCTCATCGGCAACTGGAGTGAGGACGCGTGTTTGGAGGAGGTAGTCGGGGGCCCGGCTTTTCTCCCCCCCTGGCTCCCGAGGAGCCTCGCCTGCCTCTTCCCCTCACGGTGTTTCCCCCTAATTCTTTAAATCCAGTTTAAACCTGACGCGCGAGTGCCGATAACGTCTGCCCCCTCTCTCCTTTGCAAGCAGGACCGCCTGAGGGATTTCATGATTAAAAGGGAACGAGGAGAACTTTTAACACAGAAAATAAGCAGGCTTCAGGACAACCTTTTAAAAAAGGTGATTTTTAAAGCAGGTTGTGTCAATGCTCTGTGACTCCACACGGAATGGCGTGGGTGGTGTGTGACCTCTGTGCAGTCAGAACGCTGTGGGTTAGCATTTTATATGCTAAGATACGTCTGATGCTAAGCTCAGGGAATTACGTCTGTTTTAATTTAGAAAGAGCTGTCGGTATCCCAGGATGGATTTGTTCATTTTGGAGACACTGTGATGCTTCTGAACCCGGACAACAGATCCTCGGTGGAGCGTTTCCCTGGAGTGTGCGGCAGTCTGGCTTTGGCAATTAATCTGGATGGAATACCCGTGTATTTGGCCAAATCACTGCAAGCCCCGTGTGGAGTTAGTGCGGTCGAGAGCCTGGACCCTGAGGGTCGAAATGCTTTTTGTATTTTAAGGTTTGGTACTTTATTCTGAGTTGTTTTCAATTATTATGTTACTTTTCAGGACCTTGTTTTGAGAAGTATGCAGTGAAGTTTGCTAATGCACAAATGAATTTGAGATTAATTTCTTTAAGAGTCTTTAACTTGGGTCATGCATTAAGCTTGATTCTGCTCTGCATATTACTGTGAATAATGCCAAGGAAGTTTAAATCAGCTTAGAACTGGTGTGAAAACAGAACTGAGTTCACTGTATCATTTGGTAAACTCCATAAATGTTCTTAATGCGGTTGTATTTCAGCTGTAGAACACAAACCATGTCCAAAAAGCACTTAGTATCATTACTGTTGTCTTGAAATTAAGGTCTCTGAAGCAGAAATTTGTGTCAGATCTTTTGCTGTGCACATGAAGTGGACAGTGTTTCTGTTGTCCTAAAAAAACCCCTTGACCAAACATCATATTCTCTCTCTCAAAGACATATTTAATTTCAGCTGTTTGTGGGAGAAAAAAACAGAAGAACAGGGTCCTGGCTCAGTAGTCAAAGGCTCTGCCTGAGTGCATGTTTTTAATAATAATAATAATAATAATCCTGATGATGCATAAGAGTAGAAACCAACCCATGTAAGCCTGACAGAGCAAAACACTTTGGGTTAGGCCTAAGAAAGAATTTTGATGCCAAGAGCATAATTTAGGCCTTCTAGAACTGCAACCAAAATATTGTTGCTTACTTGCTGTCTGATCTTAGTGTCATTGGCACTGAATGCTATCAACTCCTTCATGAACTACGTTTATCAACTACTTAAGTTTTTTATGCTGAATACACTTAGAAAGCCTAGCACTTAATTCAGTGATTGTTTAATATAAAATACAGAAATCATTCTGGAAATAGAGATACACCACCATGTGTATTGATGTAATGAACAAAATTAGTGAATATCAGTTACATGTATTGTTATCAACATATGTTAAATTACAGACAAACACACACTCTTCTGCTTTTAGTTTGTGATTTTTCAGGTGCTTGTATTAAGTATATTTTAAAGGGGGTGTCAGTGCTGACTTCCCATTGATTTTTCATTGGTTGTTTTCTTTCCTCCCTGCATGTTAATGAATAAGTCATATAAATCATCAATATAGTCTGTTCCTATTTTGTTAAATATTTTAACCAGTCAGTCAAGTATGAAATGTCTTTTTGGTTGTTTTACCTATTTTTAAAGGTAAACTTAATACAAAGTGTTGCCACAAGACCGAAGTATAGGCCAAAACAATAGAGAACAATAAAGAATAGTAAAACTGATTATTTGAATTTACCTTTCTTCCTTTTTACTATTTTAACAGTGTTGATGGAGGTGCAGTGGGTGAACCGGTGAGATTTGGGCAAAACTTTGGTCTTGGGACAACAGGAGGGTTTTCTGACCAAATGGTAAGGCAGGAAAGTTGCAGGTGGCAATGGTAGCGTTACTGATAGCGTGCATTGAATTTTATACCCCCTCCCCCCCCTCCCCGACCCCTCAGATATATAAAGCTGTAGTGGTTCAACACCTTAGCTTTACAGAACAGATTTAGAATCGTACGCAGGTCAAGGTAAGTAATGCCTGGTTAGAAGGTTTATGCAACTTGCCTTAGATGCGGTGTGAAGGCCAAGGGGGCTGTCAGCCAGAATGACTGGATAAAGGAGATTTTTAAACAGAAAAGAAAAAAGGAAATTGAAATTAGCTTGTGAATCATTCATCGTGAGAGGGAGATTTTTCTAACTTTTTCTTTAAATAAATCCAAAGTGAGAAGATTTCATGTCTTGTGAAATTAAACCTACAGTAGGTATATGAAGTATTGTACTACTGTATCATTCTGTGGGAACAGATTTCTATTAAATGTTAACCTTGTTTCCCTCTGCAAGTTAGAAGCAGGTAAGACATTACTGTTACATATGCACTCTAAATAAATCACCACAACTTTGAAAAAAATTCCCCTCACAACAACTGCTTTGGTGAGAGAGAGACTCTTTGGAATGTAAATTCAATTTTGAATTAGTATTCCCCGGTCTGCATATAGAATAGCTACTTAACGTGTTTATCGATAGTACAGAATCTATGTTATGGGCTTTGTGTGTGCCGTTTTAGCTTGGCAGACAGACTTTTCAGGGGCCTAGAGAAAATGTTTTGTGTCAAACAATATTTTTTAATGGCATATTGGGTTTCTTTTGCACTGATAGTGTCCTTAATATATGTTTTTATTTACAGTTATATCTAGCAAGTGACCATAAATCATTTATAAGATCTGCTAAAAAATCTTGCCTTCAGGAAGTATTTTTGACAGATGAGCTTTCCTATTTGATTTGCTGGCAAGCTACCTTCTTGGATCCACAGCTGCGTCTTGAATATGAAGGATTTCCAGTTCCTGTAAGAAATCAAAACTGTGAAAAATATTATGAAAATTAATTGAAACAGTAGATGGAGTCCTTAGAAAAATGTTGTGTCCATTTTATTCACCTGTTTTCCTTATGTAGGTTCTAACCTGTGGTTTTAGGAAGGGGGAGAGGGAAGGAGCAATGCCTTTAACCAGGGAATCTGCATATACAACTACTGCGTTCTGGTGTTCATTTTGAGGTTGACTTGCTCAGTTTTTCTCATCAGAACTTTTTTAAAGGCCAAAATTATCATGTTGTGCGGATGCAGTACTTTTCAGAACTTCTGAGCACTAAATTCCATTTCCAATATTAGGGGCTGTGCTTAATTAAAAACTCTTGTACATTAAATTTAAAAAGTATTGTAAAACCCCAAGGCATCTGAATTAGTAGATGCTTTTCCAAATGTGTTTTTTAATAAGTACATTAAGCAGCTGTACAATTTTCCTGTTCCCCATAACTGCTAGGCTTCCTGAAGTGCTGGCGGTACAGCAAAATACCACAAACCTAACTGTTCCTCTACAGCCTTGAGCTGCGACTCATTTACATGAATCAGCTCACTAATAAACAGTCGAAAGTATGTCACTGTCAAAGACATTCAAATCCAATTGTCAATTGTTCACAGTGTTGGTAAATGGGGGTGACTAAAAATTAATTGTGTTATCATAAAAGATTTCAAGTTGGTAGATGATAAAGGTCCGTTTCTAGGCTGCGTCCCCAAGCCATCTGGATGTCTCATATGGCAAACATCAGTTGTAAGCACAATTATCCTGGTGGCACAGGCCACTGGAATGAGTCTCTACCACCTGCCCGAGTTTTCAAAGTGCCCAGTCGGAGGGAGTGGAATGGAATGTTTTGGACTGCAGAATGCGTCTGAGCTGAGGGCTAAGCATTTGTCTGGCCTGAGCGGTTGAGACCATCATGTTGAGAACTGTAGAGTGTGAAATCCCTCCCTGTCAGCCTACGGAAGTCTCAGGGTGATACAGAGCAATGTTGGGCTTACACTAAGCAGTAACTAAAAACATTTAATTTGAATAAGAATAGTTAAAACTAGTGTAAAAATATCTGTCAAGTGTCTTCCCTTGGTGTTGGTTTTTTTCCAGGCAAACTCTAAAATTATTATTACTCATTGCCATACTAATCGGAGCTTAGCTGTTCCAAGGAACTTTTGGACAAGGTAAGAATAATTTGTAACTGGCAGAGATGTGCATAATGTTGCGCCAATGTCAAGAATTACTGTAAGAAGCAAGATAGTTGCTTTAGGAACGCACTGAGGAGATGGAAAAGAACAGAGAATGCACATTCTCTTTTCCTGGGCCATAATGTGTGCCACTGTGATGCTGTAGGCAACTGGCTCAGTCTTTTTCTTTTCAGTTCATATGAAATCATGCTTCTAGCCTTCTCTAGGTTCTTGGTGTTTCCCCCTTTGAGTACCTTGACCAATTGCAGTTGCTTGGGGTTTTTTTGAAGTAAAAAAATGGTCTACTAGGAAGCGTAAGAAGTAAGAGAACTAAGTAAAACAACACTGCGTAAAACTGTATATTGGTTGTGTCCACATGAACCAATCTCTCAACAAATCAAAGTTAATTCAACAATTCAAGTTAATATGCATGCATGAAATTAATACTGGTTAAGCTTTGTTAAGGAGTGTACCAATTGTTTCCCATTAAATTCTGAGGAAGATCTGACTAAGAATTTGTATCAGGTTTTTGAGGCTGAAACAAGGTCTGATAGTTTGAGGCTGAGACAGTTATTTGTGTCCAGAGCCTTCCTTGCTCAGAGCGAAATGATGGGATGACCGGTGATGAGAACCAGTTTGTACATACTGAGTTGGCCTATCAGTGCCTTATACTGGTGGGGCTGCTTTAGCTTTGAAGCTGGAAAGGTGTCGTATGCCTTTGATTTAAAATTCCTAAATTTTTCATAGGAAACAAAGTGGGCTGTTGTGTTTTGTGTAAGGGTCTGATATTTGAAAATGCGTGGTGATATTTCTGAATGAGCCAAGAGAAACATAGGAAAACCTTGAACAATTCAGCAGACTTGTATATATTGATTTCCCCTGCTCATCCCCTTTTCTTTGACTTTGCAGGTCTTATTTTGGAAAAGAATATGAAGTAGTTTGTCACACGTACCTTGACTCCCATAAAGCTGAAGAAGATAAGAATTACTGGGTAATAGTTACTGGAAATCCCAGCAGGGAGGACGGTACAATGATGGATAGACCCAACCCTCACCCAAGCGGGATCCGAAAGAATGCATTTCATGAAGAGAAGTAGAATATAAAAATCTCAGACTACAGCAGACAGAGGTTGATGAGATTCTGATTCTTAGTTTTTCTGTTGAGATTATAGTTTTAGAGATGTTTGTTTTAAAAAGGGAAATGAAAGTCTACTGTTAGTAGTATTGCGTAATCTCATTAACTCATCAAGGTTATACAGTGGGCAAAAACAAATGAAATTTGAAGAACCATGCACAACATCAAAAATTCATGAATCATGAAAGGTTCATTTTCCCATTTTTATATTTGCTGATGGCAAAATATGTCAGAATCCAGAGAATCTAATATTTTTTCACTACCTTACTGGCCTTTAGAGTGTATTTAACCGATTCTTCCAAAACCAAATCAGTGTCACGCTTTTTAAAAGGATGAGTGTAGAGTTTCCCCAACACTGAAAGCCAAACTCATGCAAACTGTCATGGGACGCTTTGACATTTAAAGTTCATCTGACAGAAAGTTGGTTGTTGAGCTTGTTCCATGCTTCGTCTAGCACAATGTTGCCAATTCTTAAAAAAATCACAAGTGAGGTCTCTATCTTGAGATTGGCTTCATATTTATGGGAATTAATTAAAAAGGATATAAATTGAGTTTTTTACCTTTGTCCATGTACTCTAAAAAATTAAATGCCATGTAATCAAGAACTTGAGCACAGTTACGCAGAAAGGCTTCCGAGAGCCTTATCCATGCATCACCTTGTTCCACTTGCCTCCCACCCTCAGAAGTTTTCAATTTCTGCCAAGTCTGGCAACAAGGTAAAGTTGTCAAAGAAAATTAGCCTCCCCTCCTCCTCCTCATTTCATGAAAATAAATGCCAAAGTAGAAAAAGAACGAGACACTAAGTTTATCCAGTAGGAAAAAGATGGTAGTCTGTGTTTATCTAATTAGACACTAGAGAATCCACATGAAAAACTCACATTTTCTTGTACAACAAGATCAACCAAGCATGAGATGCAAAGACATGGAAACAGAGGTCATTACCTCACGGAGTTACCTGCCTTTACATGCAAGCTGAAACAGCACCAGAGAGAATCTTCATGGTGTATGTATCTTCATGGTATCCATTCAGTAAAGCTGCTTGCATACATATTCCGTTTCTTACTGTACCACAAGAGCGGGCGCTTTCTGCACAAAGTAATTGAATTTCTGAGTAAAATACCACATAAATCTCCATTCTCAAAAGGGATGCCAAAGATCTCCAATGGTCATGAAGGTCAAATCAAACTTCTGAAGTTTTAGCAAAACAAACCCACTAAACTTAACAGAAGAAGGGCCCAATCCAACCATGTTATGTCGTTAGGCTCTATGCCGGAGAGAGGTTAAAAGCAAGGCTTTGAAACTCCTCGCCTTTATTCAATATTAATTAAATCAGCAGACTAGGCTAGGTAGCGCTTGGCATACAGGGTCTCAGAGCAGGAGACACTGTGGTTCTGTCACATTCGGGTTTGCTCTGGGGAGTGTATCACAGAGGAGAGTGTTTGGATCACAGTCCTTACAGCAAACCTTCGCAGGTCTGTTAGAGGTACGGATTATAAAGGCAATTTTCTTTAGGAACTTCCACTTTTTCTTTCACTTTCTGTGTAAAGACATGAACCTGACGTGTCACAAATGATGCATGCTTTTATAGAAGCACTGATATTCCTCCAATTTACAGAGATTGAAATTCTGCACAGTTTCACAATAGATTGACATAATTCTGCTTTGATTTTGCGGGTATTAAGCTAAAAAAACTTAGGCTGCATAGAATGCACTGCAGAGTTTCTAATTTGATCGTTGTGGACATTTATTGGTATTAGGGATAGCTATTTCACATTTGGCGGAGTCTCTTTCCTCTTGGTTCAATGTAAGAAACAAGAAGAGGCCTTATACCAAAACCACTGCTGTAACAAATCTTCGTGTGAACTCGAGCTGGAATGAGACGTGGGCAGAGTGCCTTGGCTGGCTGATGGAGGAGCGTTTGGGGGAGCATGTGTGCATTTGTGTGGGAGAGAAGCAGCGCAGGCTGTCCCAAAACAAGTTCTGTAAACTCTTAGCAGAGAACCCAAGAGAGAGACAGGTACGGCAAAGAGTACAGAAGTAGGTGATGTTGGAATTAGGTGCTGCTCAAAAGCGGCTTGGAGACTTTGGTGTGTGTTTTGATCCGGCTGTGCTATTGCAAAAGGATTTCCCAAGCTGATGGGTATAAACAGGACAGAATCAACCATTCCTGATTCCATTATAATTTTTTCTTCTTACCTAATACACTTTTAAACCCAGAGATTTGTACCTAGCTTCTTATATAATGCATGCCTGTAATTAAGCTGATTTGTGATATTAAATACAGATACTTACCTCTTACCTCGTTTTTCTTTTAAACCCTGTCTTTTACACTTCTTAACATTGTCCACATGATGGCACCACGTTTTTCTAAGGAGCACAATTATTGCTACATATGTAAACCAGCCTGAATGTTCAAATCCAAGTCAGTCCCTGATACAATGCTACAAAAGCTGACCAGGTTAAATCGGACTTGAATTCTGGGCTAGCAGCAGTCATTGGAGTTTTATCAGGTTTTTGGATACAAAGTTAAGTGAGAAAGGTAGATAGAAGAACGTAGAACATTGTGGACTGCACATAATCAACTTCTTAAAGCTAATTGGAATATTAATTACTTTGTAACCAAAACATGCTTAGAGGAAATTGCCTTTAGGAGCTTTTTCTTTCACTTTCTATGTAAAGATACAGAACTTGATGCGTGACAACCGATACATGTTCTGGTAGGGGCACTGTTACTACTTGCTCCACCTTACAGAGGTTAAATTCTGCACATTTTCACAAGAGAGAGACATAATTCTGCTTTGATTTTGTAGGTTTTAAACTAGAAAAACTTAGGCTGTGTAGAATGAAATACAGTTTTTCTAATTTGGCCATTGTGGACATTTATTGATAAACTCAGGATTTAATATAAAGAATTATGGAATTGACTATTAACACAGAATCTGAACAATCCTGCAGCTGCCACTTAGAGACACGAGAGGGTAGTGGGTAGGATAAGGGAGCTCTGAACCATGCTCAGACCTGACCACTGCACAGCGAAGGGCAGGCACTGCATTTTGCTTGTCCTGGTACTGCGTGTCATGGAATACAGACCGTGATGCTTGCCTCGTTTGCAAAGCACTTCGACATGCACCAACGAAAAGCAGAATCATGTATTGTATCCAGAGAAGTGTGGCCAGCAGGTCGAGGGAGGGGATTCTGCCCCGGTACTCTGCTCTGGTGAGACCCCACCTGGAGTGCTGCGTCCAGCTGTGGAGCCCTCAACATCAGAAGGATATAGACTGGTTGGAGCGAGTCCAGAGGAGGGTACGAAGATGACCAGAGGGCTGGAGCCCCTCTGCCATGGGGACAGGCTGAGAGAGTTGGGCTTGTTCAGCCTGGAGAAGAGAAGGCTCCGGGGAGACCTTATAGCACCTTCCAGTGCCTGAAGGGGCTACAAGGAAGCTGGGGGGGACTTTTTACAAAGGCCTGTAGTGACAGGACAAGGGGTAATGGGTACAAATTAAAATCAGGGAGGTTTAGATTAGATATCAGGAAGAAGTTCTTCCCAGAGAGGGTGGTGAGGCACTGGAACAGGTTGCCCAGAGAAGCTGTGGATGCCCCATCCCTGGAAGTGTCCAAGGCCAGGCTGGATGAGGCTTGGAGCAACCTGGTCTAGTGGAAGGTGTCCCTGCCCGTGGCAGGGGGGTTGGAACTAGATGATCTTTAAGGTCCCTTCCAACCCAACCCATTCTATGATTCTATGATTCTACTGATAAAGCTTTTAATGCTTCTTCCAAATTAGACCCAGTATGGATAGCTCTACAAAGTACCCTGTGGGAAGAAAAAACTCACTTGGCCTCTGTTCCAGGCAGCTAAAAAGCTATTAGCATGAGGCTGATCCTGTGCTGTTAGTCCTTGCTGAGGGACAGGGTGCATTAGTTCAGATTCAGTCCTGTGCTAATAGAGTCTTTCACAGGCCTGAGGCAGAGGGGGGCTCACATCTGCACACACTTTGCTGTGCTCACCTGTGTTAGCAGCACAGTATTGAAGTAAAAAGAGGTACAGAGAATTCAAAGAGCAAAGTAAGCGTTATCCTCCTAGTAAACTCACGCATTGGTAGCAGTGGAAAACGAAAACGCAGCTTTAAATCTGCTTTTTCACTTTCCTTCTCTTCTGCATGCTCCCCCAACTCCCATTTCACATCACACTCTGCTGTGTCACCCGGCAGAATTCCCTGGCCCTCACCCTGGTCACATCCGCATCTTCAGTGGCTGCTTTTCTTTTCAGTGGTTGTCATGAAGTATTGTTTTAGCTCACACAGCTGATCGGAGGAGGAGGCCACATGCAAGTTCAGAAACTGGCTAAAACATCTGAGCGGAAAAAAAAAAAAAAGCAGCGAGAATATTACAATAGGAAATTCCACACAGCAGTGGAGGAAAATATCCAAGCACTGGAAAATTTGGTGGTGTTGGCAGGTAAGAGGGTGATTTTGATAACATCTGTGCCCACTCACCCTGAATTGCTATTGCACGTCTGTTGTAACCTGGGGGAGGGAGGGGGGAATGTTCTTTTAAAATCACAGTTGTTGCTTTAGAAACACTTCAGACTTTTTAATGCATGAAATCTAGACTAAGCGGGACACAAAAATACAGATGTGAATGGCAAAATGCATTAAATACAAGTGGAAATTAGGAAATCTCTACATCATTTTGTCAGCTTATTCTCTTCTGGTTTAGGCCCTGTCCCAGGTCTTGCCTGCATTCTCCACCCGACCTGCCTTATTTCCCTGCCCGTTTGCAGTATAGAGAGGGGTGAGCCACAGCTTGCTACCTCCCCTCGTCATGCTGGCTTGACTTTATCCTGGAAGGCATAAAAGGGAATCCAGTCCTCAGCATTACTTGTAATAAGAGGGACAACTTGCCATAAAGACTCACCCATTTTTGGATTTTTTGGTCAACACCATGTATGGAGGGTATGCAATGA